CATCAGATAGCTTAACTTCTCTGGAAGGGGGAAGGGGAGGGAGGGAACTGTCTATTATGGGATAATAGTGCTCTATTCACGGTGCCACCTAGCTACCCCTTTTCCTCATTGGCTTTCAAGAAAAAACTGGGATTGATATTACTTGATATTATTTGACTGTAAGTACTGTGCACTCAAATAAATAAGAACATTTAATAAACAACTGTAACAAATAAAGGAGAACAAAGCTCACAAAAGAGTTCTGAATGATGTAAAAAATGAGAATAAAATAATGATTGTGATCCCATGACCACTTTATGTTCTCCTTCCTTACCTGGAAGTCAGAGCAGTAGGAAGCAGAGGACCTGAGCTGGTGACCCCATCTTGACGCCATTTATGCCTTGCCCAATGCTGATTCCTGGGGTGGAGACAGTGACAAGCTCATTAATAAGGGCTCTGAGCACCAGAAACAGAATGGAGGTGGGGGAGGAGAGCCCAAAAAACAGGATGGTCTGGGAGTGAAAAGCTGAACTTCCAGCCACAGAGTTTGTTCACCTTCTCTGCTCACTCCCACCAACTGAACTCTCTTTCCATATAAAATATATCTTAAATGCAAAAGGCATGTTCATGCAACTTTAAATAATCTCTGATGCTGGTAATTTGGGGTGGGGAAAGCACTTTAAAGTAAATCAACACCCTAAGGGATCTTTTCCCTCGATTAACTCTGCTCAGCTACAATAGGGATCCTTCCCTCTTTTCACAACTCTATTTGATTTTCTTGCTCACATCAACCATCGACCTCAATGCCAGAGTCCATGGTCTCAATGGATGCCTATAGAGGCTACTCTATATCAGCACTGGAATCTGGGGGTTATTTTAAAGAAAACCTGCACACAGGGATAACAAAGTTATCCCCTTCCCCAGTAGGAGCACCCCTGTGCTCTGTGATGTGTTATCAAGGTTCTGTATTAGAAAAGATTCTTAGAGAGTTAGGATATCAGAAGGAGGCAGTCATGGTTTGGGGTTCCACCTTCCCTCTCCTGACAGGCCAGACACGTTAACTCTGTGGGGAGTTGCTTTACTCTTAGTCACCATTTCTGGTACCAGTTTTGTGGCTTTGTCTCTTCAGGACTACCATCTGGCCATCTTAGTTTTCATGATAAGATGCAGGGACTAGAATGCCTCACTGTGCTAAAAGCAGGCTGAAAGCTTTCTAAACTGGTCAAAGGTTGAGGCAGCATACCCAGGTAAGAAATTGCCTAACAAATTTCTGGCAGTACCCCAGGCTATGAGTTCTCCTTTTGACTCCAGTTTCTGGGGTTGATCCTTCCTCTAGAATCTGTAGGGCAAACCATGTTAGAATTTCAAGAAGAGAGATGAAGAACCCATGACCTATTGGTATTCACTAATGGCTGGGGACTGGGGAACTGTACAAGTGGAGAAATGGAGTGACCATAAGGAGTGAGCCTTACTCACAGAGGTGATAGAGAAATTTTGAATGCTGTGGATAACTTTTCTTACCTTGGCAGTATATTTTCCATCGATGGAAACAGATAATGAAGTTGATGCACACATTGCCAGAACTAGCTCAGTGTTTGGGAAGCTCCAAAGGAAAGAGCGCGAGAAGAGGTATTAGACTGCCTACCAAACTGAAGTTCTACAGAGCCATTGTGCTGACCTCATTACATGCATGTGAAACCTGGACAGTAGTACTAGTTTCATGCTAGGAAACTGAATTGCTTCTATTTGAATTGTCTCAGGAAGATTCTGAAGATCACTCAGCAGAATAAGGTACTGGGCATGGAGGTCATTTCTTGAACTAAACTGCCAAGCATTCAAACCCTACTTCTTAGAGGTGAGCTAGCCATGTTGTTTGAATGACCAACTTAGGTTTGCCTAAAAGACTATTTCACAGAGAACCTATGAGGCAAGTGCTCACACAGAAGTCAGAAGAAGCAATACAAGGACCCTCTCAAGCTCTCTCTGAAGAACTTTGGAATTGATTGTGAGACATGGCAGACACTGGCACAGGACTGCCCAGTGTGGCATGCCCACATCAAAGAAGGTGCTGCGCTCTATGTGCAAAGCAGACTTGCAGTTAGCACAAAATAAATGAGATGCCTAAATTCAGACACCTCCATTCTAAATGTTCATATGGACTATTTGTGCCCCAAACGTGGGCCTTCCGTACACTCACCTGACACAGTAATGTCATTTTGGTCCTCTTTGTGTATGCAGGACAACAATCAATCAACCAGCTTTTTCCCAATATAGCTTTCAAAAAAAAAAAAATCCAAACCAAAGCAAACTCTTCTGCTGTCCGTGGTTTTTCCAGCTGTTGGCTGGCGTCCTCTTGACCTCTTCTGCCTGCCCTCACCTCCAGCTCCTTTCCAAGCCCCAAGGTGAGCAAGCGCCCTGGGCATCCACCAGACAACTCCTGCTTCTCTTCCTCAGAGACTGCTTCCCTTCCTGGTCTCATCCTTGCCTCTGGGGAGATGCCAGCACACAGGAAGCGTTTAATTAGACCTTGTTGACTGTTGCTGGCAGGCTGCCGGAGTGGACAGGCAGCTGGTGGGAGAGACTGGATTTCGAGGAGCCCAGCGGCCCCTCCAGTTACGAGACCCCACGATTCGTGACTCCCCGTGGGCATTTGGGCTGGGAAGACCAAGCAAGAGATAACGTGAGGAGCGGAGGGGACGGGCTCCAAGCGGGAAAAGGCGGGAAGGGAGGGGCAAGGCAGCGAGGCAGGACCACATTCCAGACAAAGAGGTGCTGGAGTCCTAGGCATGCGCAGAGGATACAGCAGCATTCAGACTACGTTTCCCAGAAGGCCATGCTCGCCCTGGGAACGTTTCCCAAGCTTCAGGGAGAAGGATGGACCTTCTCTTTTGCGTCACTTCCGCCTCGCCCTATTCCAGGGTTTCTTGTAGCCGCTTCCTCTTCTCAGTCCTTAACCAACTTGTGACGGGATGAGCCGGAGCTGAAAGCGGGGCCAAACCTATCTGAAGGCCGGTTTTTCGGGTGCGGCGGGGCTGGAGCACCGGGGGGAGTCTAGTTGAGCGTCCATCAGAGGGCGGCGGAAGCCTTTCAAGCGCTTACAGTGGCCTTGCGAGAGGCGCACGCGCAGTGGCGGCTACGGGGTTGGGGGCGGGGGGAGGTGGACTGTGGAGGCGGAGCCAGATTCAAATGCATCCTCAGACACACTCTTGCCGTATGACCCCTGGGCAAGTCTCGAACCTCCAGGGCTCAATCCTTCCTCCATAGCAAAGAGTCTTAGGGATTGAACTCCTGGTGTATGTCCGGTCTTTTGTCCGGACTGCACTGAGGCCTCATCTCCTCCCACCATCCTCCTCTTCTTCCAGAACCCTTCCTGGGTACCACCCCTCCAGGAAGCCTTCTCTGATGCCGAGGATGATCCGTGCTATCCTCCCAAAAGCGCCATGTTTGTCTGCTCTCCTGTGTTGTCTCTTAAGAGACGTTGGCCCAAAGACAGCGCCCCCCCACCCCCCAGGAGAGAATGACCGCTACCTTCTGGCCCCCTCTCTGCCCCGCCCCCAGCCCCTGCCCCTCTCCCTGATCTCCCCACAGTGGAGAAGTGGGAATGTCTGGTCTGAGCAGGGCAGACCCCCAGCGTGACCCCTCATTCTCCTGCTTCTCCTTCCCCCCCCACAGCTCTACCTTCGGTGGCCTCTTTTTCTTCCCCAGTAAGTGGGAGCGCTGAGGAAGACAAATGGCTCCTGTACTCCTCACAGCCAGGGCCTGCAAGGTGAGTGCCATTTTCTTGTTTCCAGAAATACCATCTGAGTCTAAAAACCATGGGATGCATTTCTTTCCCATATGCTACAACTCTAGAAATTGTGGACATCAGAGAATCCTATATTTTAAGCTAAAAGAGACCATAGAGATCAGCTATTTATCCCCCCCGCCAAAAAAATTACTTTTCATTTAAACATTCCAAAATCTTTCTCTCCCTCCAGCCCCTCCCCCACCCATTGAGGAGATAAGCAATAGGCTACCCATTATGCATGAAAAGAAAGTGAAAAAAATATGTTCATCTTCCCTGAGTTCATCATTTCTCTTTTTATTTTTCTTCATGAGTTCTTTGGAATTTTCATACATCATTATATTGGTTTTTTTGATACTTCAGTATTTTTTTCTTTAATATTTTATCTTTTTCCATTTACATGTAAAAATGTGTATTTGTTTTGTAAAATTTTGAGTTCTAAAATCTCTCCTTTGTTGAAAAGGCAAGCAAATTGATATGTTTATAGATGTTCAGTCATGCAAAACATTTTCATCTTAGTCATCTTGTGAAAGGAAACACATCAAAAAAACCAAGAAAAATAAAGTAAAAAAAAAAACAACTATGCTTCAATTTGCATTCAGACTCCATCAGGTTTTTCTTTGGAGTTGGATAGCATTTTTCAACATAAGTGTTTTGGAATTGTCTTGCATCATTGTATTGCTAAGCATGGCTGAGTCTCTCACAGCTGATTATTGTTACAGTATTGCTGTTACTGTGTGCAGTGTTCTGATTCTGCTCACTTTACTTTGCCTCAATTCATAAAAGTTTTCCCAGGTCTTCCTGAACTCACTGCCCTCATCATTTCTTCATGTGCAATAGTATTCTATCATAATCATACACCAAATCCTGTTCAGCCATTCCCTAGCTGGTGAACATCCACTCAGTTTATAATTATTTGCCACTGAAAAAAAAAACTGCCATAAATATTTTTGTACATTTAGGTCCTTTCCCTTTTTCTTTCATTCCTTTGGGATACAGGCCTAATAAAGGGATTACTAAATGAAAGGGTGTGGACAATTTGGGCATAGTTCCTAATTATTCTCCAAGAATGGTTGAAATAGTTCACAACTCCGCTGACAGTGCATCAGTGTCCAAATTTTCCCACATTGCTTACCTGGTTTATCATTTTCCTTTTCTGTCATGTTAGCCAATCCAGTAGGTATGAAGTGGTATCTCTGAGTTGTTTTAATTTGCATTTCTCTAATTATTAGTGCTTTAGAGCATTTTTTCATATGACCATTGATAGCTTTGATTTCTTCTGAAAAGTGCCTGTTCATATGCTTTGATCATTTTCCAATTGGGGAATGGTTCTTATTTTTATAAATTTGGCTCACTTCCCAATATATTTTAGAAATGGGGCTTGTATCAGAAAAACTTTGTGCTGCTGCTGCTGCAGTCATAACTTCTATCATCGCCAAGGCCCACAGCTAGTGTTCCCGCCCTGTGTGCTCTAGGCCAGTCCCCATCCCAATGTCACAGGCCACTCCTGACAACCTAAATAGTCTTGGGCTGAAAAAAGGTCTCATAGTGATCTCTTATTGGCTGTGCTATTCCAGAATTTAATTTGATGCATTATTTTAAAGTTTTTAGGAGAGGAATTTTGGAAAAATTTGAAGAACCTCCCTCTATTCTGCTATCTTTTCTCTGCTTCACGTTTTGTGTTTTTTTTGTATTTATGATACTATTTGTGTGCATTTTGTTTCCACCCAAAGAGTGTAGACGCCTAGAGGTTAGGAAATATTTTATCTTCCTTTATGACCTTTATACCTAGCATAGTGCCCTTCACACGGTGAGCACTTAATAAATACTTGGAGATTACTAAAGAGCAAGCTAAGGCTCTGACAGTGGAAGTGACAGAGCCAAGATCCACACAGAGGAAGAGCACCAAGATTTCCTCACAGGTGTATAAACTTCCAGTCATATGAACCTTTCAGTGACTCTGACCCTGCAGTCAAGCTCTCTGTGACCCGACACAGCCCTCCTAAGTGACCTTCTTCGCTTCCTGAGTGCTTTGTGTCTTCTTCACCCAACTTTTATGTATTCATTTGTTCAACCATTCAAAGCTACTGTATGGTCAGTGCTGCTCTTGCTGTTTCAAAGGAAGTAGAGTAATAGCATCAAATATATCCTGATTTAATTTCCTCGAAAAAAACTGATAGGGGGCAGCGAGGTGGTGCACCTGAGTTCAAATCTGGCATCAGACCAGACATTTGACACTAACTGGCTCTGTGACCCTGGACAAGTCATTTAACCCCAATTGCCTTAAAAAAAAAAGGAAAAAAGAAAAAACTGATAGGTGTTAATAATACCATTTAACAAATAAGAAAACTGAGATTTAGGGAGAGGAAACAACTTTGCAACAATCATACACTGAGTGTATTAGAGCCAGGAATCCAAAACTTAGGCAGATAACATGAGCCTGCCTCCCTCTTTCTCACCTAATAATCCAAGACCAGAAAGGACTAAGACTGCTGGTTGAATTGGTGTGTCAGTACCATAGGGAAGTTCAGATTAAGTTTCCAGGAGAATCCTTAGGTGCATTAAGCATTCAGAGAAGGAAGGATATAAAAAACCTTGTAATGGTCTCTAATATTTTCCTTTGTATTACTTGGTTCTCCTTGGGCTAGTTTCAGTGTTAATTTGTGGGAAGAATCAACCTTTAGTCTAGATTTTGTGTTTAAAGTATTTCAGTCTTTACTCAGAATACACGTAATTTCAGGGAGAGGCACCAGTTGACTCACAGAGATCCTTCTGTCATTTCATGGGATCTAATTACAAAAAAATTGCATCTGGTATTTAAAGTATAAGGTGAAGAGGAAAACCCAGCTTAGCTGGGCAGTTTTAGAAGCTATTACTAATACCATTAAAAAAAAATTACCTACAAGGGGAGAGATGGACAGAGGGCACTTCTTAGCTATGATGTTGTACCACCCTACAGCATTGTGAAAAGCTTGATTAACAGTTTGGAATAATCAGTTTGCAATAATCAGCTTAATACATACTTCTTAATTCCATCATTATGATGGTAACCTTTAGCCTCGTTTATTTAGTTTGGTGTCCCCTGGGAGGTTTAGATTTGTACCATATGCCAAGTGTTATGAGTGATGTGAAGCATTGCAGAGATTGTCATAAGAACAAAGCTCATTATGTCTATGGTGGTACAAGAGGAGGTTACTTGGGAAACATTGGTGCACACTGCTCTAGGCCATAGCTATTTTGGAACCTGGGTCTGAGTTTCTAATCATTAATTAAATAGTACGTAGGAGATGATAATGATTAAGAGCATAGTCTGTGAGCATATCAATAACAAAAACAACAAAAGTCATATGATTATGTCAACAGATGCACAAAAAGCTTTTGACAAAAACAACCCCCATTCCTATTGAAAACACTAGAAAGCATAGGAATAAATGGAGCTTTTTTGAAAAGGATAAGTAGCATGTATCTAAAACAAAGAGCAGGGGATAAACTTGAAGCCTCCCCATTAAGATCAGGTATGAAGCCAGGATGGCCATTATCATCATTATTATTTAATATTGTACTAGAAACACTAGCTATGGTAATAAGACTAGAAAAAGAAATTGGAGGAATAAAAATAAGCAGTGAGGAAACAAAACGATCTTTGCCAACGATATGATGGTGTACTTCAGTTACTCTAGAGAATCAATGAAGAACTCCAGCACAGCTGCAGGATGTAAAATAAACCCACGGAGATCGTCAGCATTTCTGTACCCTGCCAGCAGTACTCAGCAGGAGGAGATGGAAAGGAAAAATTTCATTTAAAATAACTGTAGACAATATAAAGTACTGGGAAGTCTCCCTGTCAAGACACATCCAAGGACTATATGAATGCAATTACAAAGAACTTTCCCACAACTAAAGACATCTAAAAATTGGAGAAATATTGATTCCTTATGGGTAGGCTGAGCCAATATAATAAAAATGATAGTTCTGTCTAGGTTAGTTTATTTATTCAGTGCCATACCAATCAAGCCAAGAGAAAATTATTTTATAGAGCTAAAAAAATGACAATTCATCTGGAAGAACAGAAGGTCAGGAATATCAAGGGAATCAATGAATAGAAATGTAAAGGAAGGCAGCCTGGCAGTTCTAGATTTCAAACTATATTACAAAGCACTAATCATTGAAACAATCCAGTAAGGACTAAGAAATAGAGTGGCGGAGCAATGGAATTGATTAGGTACACGATACACAGTAGTAAATGACCATAGTTATATAATGTTTGATAAATCCAGAGACCCAAACTTTTGGAGTAAGAAATCCCCATTTGTCAAAAATTGCTGGGAAAACTCACATGAGTTGGATAGAAAGTAGGCATAAACCAACATTTCACACTATGTATACCAAGCTAAAATGAAAATGGATAAATGATTTAGATGTAAAGGGTGGTATCAGTAAGTTAGAGGAGCATGGAAAACTGTACCTGTCAGATCTATGGATACGGGAAAAGTTTATGACTAAAGAAGAGGATCATAAGAAGTAAAATTAATAATTTTTATTATATTAAATTAAAAGGCTTTTGTACAAACAAAACTAATGCAGCCAGCATTAGAAAGGAAACTGGGGAAAAATTTTTTATAGTAAGTTGTCTAATAAAGATTTCATTTATCAAATTTATAGGGAACTGAGCCAAATTTATAAAAATAAAAGCCGTCAGAACAAAAAACCAAAGCTATCAATAGCCATATGAAAAAATGCTCTAAATCACTAATGAACAGAGAAATGTAAATTAAAACAACTCTGAGGTACCACTTGATAGTTATCAGGTTTGCTAATATGACAAATACCAGAGCGTATTTGGAAAAATTGGGACACTAATGCACTGTTGGTAGAGTTGTGAACTGGTCCATCCATTCTGGAGAACAATTTGGATCTATGCCCCCAGTAACATAAAATTGTGCATACCCTTTGACCCAGCAGTAGCACTACTAGATCTGTAT